ATCAGGATGGTTAAGCTTCAAAAATAACAAAAAAATCCTCTTACGTTACTTTTTCAAACTAAATTATTTTCGTGCCTTCCCCAGACGTACAATACTTCTTTCTAACGAAATTGGGTAGATAGACATAAAGAATGTGGACATTTCAAACCATAGTTAGAAACATTTTACATCCCTGTTTTCCAGTACTTTCTTAGCATATGCAGAGGTAATTTTTTTTTTGTCACTTTGTTTACTATCTTCCTACCTTCCTCCATGCTCTAGATCAAATGAATGGGTTGTATAGGTTGGTTTTCTTTTCCCTCTTTCTCCTCCCTGCTCCTCTGAGTCTTTGTATTAGTCTAAGCTTTCTAGCTACGGGAACAGCAAGGTGTTCAAACAGATTATGAAATCTCTGCCACCTGAGGATTTAGGAGCAGACTGACTAGGCAAATATCTGTAAAGAATGATTTAGATAAAACTGATCCTGTCTCGTAGCATGGAGATAGATTCAAGAATCTCTTGAAATTCCTTCCAGATCAATTTTTCTCAATCTGTTAACGATAATCAGAATCGCTACCAAGCTCACATTGAACTATGTAGAAAGCTTACCTGAAAGCAGTTCTTAGGCACTTTACGTAGACATACACACACGCATATATATATTATACTTATACTCTTATGTCTGTGCAACGTCCAGATATCTGATGAAAAGCTTTGCCTTTCACTTCTTAAATTAACCCTGTTTTACAGGAAGTTTCGAATGTTCAGAAAGTACAGGATTAGGCAATAATCTGAATAACCATATATCTTGTTTATATCCGAGGCCAAATCTTCAAAAGTTATCCTTGAGTAGCTGTTTCATATTGCACTTACAGACCATCTGAAACATTGAAATAAAAACAAACCTTGTGACAAGTACAGATGAAAGGGAAAACACTAAGACATGAGGTATACTTGAGAGCAACAGTAGGGTTTCAGATACATTGCATCCCTATATTTGTGTGTACCATTGTTTGGTGATTCCCTTTTCTTTTCTTGTTAAAGCACTTTACTTTCGTATGTCTGCACATTTGTTTGTACTATTTAAGTTGAATTTTTAAGATGATTCATGCAATAATGAGCACAAGGCAACAGGAAAGCTGAAACTCGTTTTTCCTGAAAATGGGTGTTAGATTGTGAAACAATCTTCCAGAGAAGGGGATGGAAGCTCTGTCACTGACTTTATTTAAAGATAGATCAGACAGAGCACTCTGAAGTATAGTGTGTATTTACATTCCATGTTTCTAGAAGAATGTATCTGATTATTTAATACTCTCTTTGATCTCTAATTTTGACCAAAATGAATGTTTCAGACTGCACAATGCTGTTTATAGGAGTAAGTAACATAAATAAGTGGTTCTGCTCACAAATCTCCCCTTCATGCCAGTTACTAGGTACAATACCATTGCCAAAAATATATTTCTCAAATTCTGGTTTCTCTGAAAGAGCTGAGAAAATAGTAGTTTCCTTGTATTTGATGACTTCTTTCTTGCTTTCTCTTTTATTACTTGTATACACATAGAGAACTTTTCAAAATGATTAATATAATCTATTCCTCTCGGCTTTGATATATACAGCATAGAAAATAAAGCCCTAAAAACAGGATGCTTTTCAGTAATTCATAATTAAATATGCAAATTCCACAGCTAAATTTGGACATGCATTTATATGACTAATCACATTCCAGAAAGCCAGAAAATTGCAATTGCATGCTTAAATAGATGGCCAGGCCCCAAAAGCACATGGGTGCTCTTGTTCTCTTATTTCAGGAAAAACAGTTGCTTTGCTATTAAATGACACCCTCTGAAAATTAAACACATTTGTATGTGTAATTCAGGTGCTAGCTTAGACATGTCTTTCTCTCTTTTATTTTAACACATTCAACAGAAGACCAGTTTTTAAAAACATTGCCCAACTGACTTTAACTTTTACATCCCTTTGATATGTTGGTGACTTGACTAAATGTCTTGCTGCTGTAGATTGGCTGTGGATGGACCATATGGAGCTGCAACTACAGATGTTTTTCACTAC